CCCAGGGTTGTCTATCTCCCAGGGCTTGTTCTAGGGTCATCTCTTATTCATTACCCTCATCGAAGGTACCCAGCAGCCTCTGTTCATCAATCAAGGAATCTACTAGCATCCTAGCTGTAGACATAGGTCTAGAAAAGTCTTTTTCATTCTTCCCCTACTCCTTTATTCTCTCCTCAATCTAATTAAATTTTCTAACTTTCACAAAAAGCTGGGAAGAGGTAATCTTCAGGTCATAGTATTAGAATTTGGGGAAGAAGGACTAAAAATAATTAAAAGAGGTTGTTAGTAGATTTTGTTGTGTTTAATTGCTCCATGCTTGCTTATTTGATTAATTCATTCACACCTTGAACGGTTTGCTAGGTCTTTTCAGTTAGTTTGCTTGGGCCAAGGCATGTTACGAAAATTTTACCCTGAACCCTTTCTTTAGATATAAGAAAATGTGTGTGTATGTTTATGTGTATGACTGTCCCACTTGTTCTGGTGGAAATTCTTATTGTTTAAATCTGCAGACTTTTGTGTATTGTGTTTCTATGGTAAAAGTAAGAAATGTTCTAGTTGTAAATTTTAGTGATTGCTTACTGTTAGTGGCACTGTGAACTGTTGTTTGCTGTTTCACTAAAGCATGCTCCTAAGGAGTACAAATTGTCAGTTATTGCCAACTACAGGTTCCAGTGGTGTGGCCCCTGCCTACCTCCTCCCTCTTTCATTCTGTGATACAGCTCTACCATTTCCCTAATTGATATGCTGTTTTGATATAATGGCCTTGTTATTCCTTAAGCAAATCATATTTTTTCCTGATTTACAGGCTGCACATGCTATTCTCTTAGAACGCTTTCCCCTAGGCCTGCATGGCTTGCTACCTCACTGAACTGTTCAACACTTCCTTTGGTTCTTAGAACTAGAAATCTCCCCCACATTTTTTGTAACCTTATTCTTTCTCCTTAAAGGCACTTTACCTCCCTCCCCCCACTTCTTTCTTCCCTCTCTAATATAGTTAAATTTCCTAGATTTTCACAAAAAAAGCTGGGAAGGAATCATTAAGGGCTTTGCTTCTCTCTTAGAATTGAGCTAGCTTGAGTCAATTTCTGTGCCTGCAACCAAAAGAAAGTTAATATAGTGAATTGAGTCAAAGGGATCTTTCTTTGTTTTTCTATTGATAGCTTATGATTTCAAGCAATTAAATTGAAGAGACCATCAAAAGCCTACCAACAAAGAGGAGCCCAAGACCAGACAAATTCTCAGTCAAGTTCTACCAGAGCTTCAAAGAAGAACTTACTGGAAAATGCCATAATATTATTATACTTTATGACTGGGTAATATTCTATTGTGTATAATATGTCAAAATACCAAAAAAAGAAGAGGTACACCTCAAATTATTCCATGAAATTGAAAAGAAACCCTTCCTAACTCATTCTATGAAGCTTATAAAACTCTGATACCAAAACCAGACAAACACACATTAAGGAAAGAAAATTTCAGATCCAAATCCCTGATGAAATTAGATTTAAAAATTCTTAATTAAAAAAACTGGCATATCACATACAAAAACACATTAAAAAGATAGTGCACCATGACCAAGTGGGGTTCATACTAGGATGGTTCAACATTCAGAAATCAATAGACGTAATTCCTCACATCAATGGACTTAAAGACAAGAATCATATGATTAACTCAATAGATGCAGAAAGAGCATTTGACAAAATTCATCATCCATTCATACTCAAAACACTAGAAAAACTAGGGATAGTAGGAACATACCCCAACATTGTAAGAGCTATCTATGCTAAGCCCAAGGCCAACATCATTCTAAATAGAGAAAAATTGAAACTGTTCCCTCTAAAAACTGGAAGAAGACAATGATGCCCTCTTTCACCACTTCTATTCAACACTGTCCTTAAAACTCTACCCAGAGCAATTAGGCAGAAGAAATAAATTAAAGGGATATGAACAGGAAAGAAGAGCCCAAAAATCCCTATTTGCTGAGACATGATTCTATACTTAGAAGATCCAGAAAATTTCTAGAACTCATAAATGAATTCAGCAAAGTAGTAGGTTATAAAATTAACATCCATAAATCAATTGCATTCCTATATATCAGTGATGAACCAACTGAAAGAGAAATTAGAAAAACTATATTCACAATAGTCTCAAAAAAAGTCAATGTAACAAAAGGCTAAAAGACCTACCTGTACAGTGAAAACTACAGAATGCTAAAGAAAGAAATTGAAGAAGACCTTAGAAGATGGAAAGATCTACCTTGCTCTTGGACAGGCAGAATTAACATTGTCAAAATGACCATACTACTAAAAGCACTATACAGATTTAATGCAATTACTATTAAAATTCCAATGACTTTCTTTATAGAAATAGAGAAAGCAGTCATGAAATTCATTTGGAAAAATAAGAAACCTAGAATAGCCAAAGGAATCCTCAGGAAAAAAAAAGTGAAGCAGGAGGCCTCACAATACCAGACCTTAAATTATACTACAGAGCTATAGTAACAAAAATGGGACAGTACTGGCACCAAAGCAGACATGATGACCAATGGTATGGAATAGAAGACACAGACACAAACCCACATAAATACAGTTACCTCATACTACATTCATCTCATACTACATAAACGCACCATAAACATATGTTGGAGAAAAGATAGACTTTTCAACAAATGGTGCTAGAAAAACTATAAATCCATATGTACCAGAATGAAATTAGACCCCTATCTCTCACCCTGCACAAAACTCAATGCAAAATGGATCAAGGCCCCTGCACCTGGTAGAACAAAAAGTAGGCCCAATTCTCCATCATGTCAGCTTAGGAACTGAAGTCCTCAACAAGACTCCTAAAGAATAAGAAACAAAACCAAGAATCAATCAATGGGATGGTATCAAATTAAGAAGCTTCTTCATAGTAAAGGAAACAATCAAGAATGTGAACAGAGAGCCTACAGAATGAGAGAAAATCTTTGCCACCTGCACCCCAGACAGAGTATTAATCGCCAAGATATATAAAGAACTCAAAAAACTTAACACCAAAGAAAACAAATAACCCAACCAATAAATGGGCAAAGGAACTAAACAGGCATTCCACAGTAGAAGAAATACAATCCATCAACCAATATATTTAAAAATGTACAACATCTCTAGCAATTAGAGAAATGCAAATTAAAACTACACTGAGATTTCATCTAATTCCAGTCAGAATGAAAATTATCAAGAATACAAGTAACAGTAAATGTGGGCAAGGATGTGGGGGAAAATGTACACTCGTACATTGGTACAACTACTGTGGAAAGCAGTATAGAGATTCCTCAGAAAACTTGGAATGGAACCACCATTTGACCCAATTATCCCA